CATCTTGAAAGAATGGCAAGACCAATGATCATATCGACATTGTCATTCCAATGTTCATCTTCTGTTTTCTTTAGTTGTAGAAAAATGATGCTAAACATATAGGTAATAAAATGAACCACTATAGGATTCAAAAGGTTAAGTGCCTATTCAATGCAAAACTCTAACTTCAAAAACTTCGTAAAGGTTATCCCCATGTTGCTTATGCTTTTGATATTGAGTTTCAAAATTTCTCTCTTCATACTCTGGGTAAACCTGTTTATTAAAACAATCCCCTAGAGGATATTTTTAAATTGAATATTGATGGATATGTGCAGCATATTCATTCGGATGTGAAAATCTCCAGCTGTGTGTTGGCCAAAACGTTACAAAATTTTGGATTGGGGTGGATGCTTAGCTAATAATTCAATAAATTGGTGGTAGTAAATATTAATGTATCAATGGTTGATCCTTATGCTTTTGGATGGTTCCTTTAATGCTGTTGAATTTTCTTTCTGGGTGGTTCTTCTTATAATGTAATACTTAGATAAATTATTGTGCTACCTGCAAAGGGCTTTACTAATTCTAATATTTTTACGCAGATAGGGCCCATTCTGGCCTCTAAGCTAACCAAGAACAACATTTCAATGAACTGGTGCAGTTTCTTCTGTCTAATAGAATTGCTTATATATGGTATATTTAATTGCAGGCTTAAGAAAGAGAGTTGGTATTTTGGATCTATCTAGTGATCGAAGATATCATATTGGAAGCAAATGAATGTCTATTACAGTTGGTGTGCCTGGCTGAGGTATTGTGAGGCAGAAGTGCGCTTTTGTTCACTGAGCTGTACTGGATAGGAGAGCTCAGATTGGCCAAATCCAGATCATTCACATTTTGAAGATTTGGATAATGCTACTGGAACTTCTACCTCATATTGGAATGCATCAATTTTTTGGCCTATACTCTTTATTTTTTTTCCAAGAGAACTTACTTATAGGTCTTTATGGTCTCTTAATACTTTTAAACTGTTTTGCAACATGTCTCTTCTTCAGGGCCATTTTTTGCCATTGACTTTTGTAACTTCTTTTGATTATTACTAATCTCTTGGTTTTGTTTGGAAAAAATAGAGATTTTATTGATAAGTGAGAGCAATAGGCAGCTGGTAAAAAGGAAGAAAATAAGGAAACAAATTTGATTAAAAAATGGTTATAGTGGTAAAGTCAACAAAAATGGAAAACTATCAAATTTAATGTTTCTGTCAGAATTACATGTTACACAATTTCAGTTCCATAAAACACTGTTATAGATAGGAGAAAAAGGAATATCAAAAATATTTTGGATGAGCAAAGTGTGCTTACTTTTGTAATGGTGGATCCCAAATGGCAATGAGCCCCAACAAGTTTTAGTTCATTTGGATAAGACTTTATAGTGTCTAGGAACCATTGCAGCCTCTCATTTCTAATACCAAACTTTGAATTCTTGTTGCCTGTCGCTACATATGGATGCACCTAATGAAAAGAAAAGGAGTATAGGAAATCAAGTTTGACCACAAAAAAGTATTAAATCATACAAACAAAAAGACAAGGTCTCATTATCGCACATGAAGAAATGACATGTAAGATAATTAACCAAACAGTAAATGATTAGCATCCAAAAGAAAACGTAGAAGTCATTCAAAAACATATTTATTACATTGCCAGCATAATCCAACAGTTTAGCACAAAAGGTGGCTTAATTTATACAATTCTCCAATTAAACTGCTGTTTAAAAATCAAATGACATTTATATATCAAGTTTAGCAAATTGAATGTATAGAATTGATCCAAATAAAAATAACACACAGTTAGACAACTAGCAACAAGTAATGAAACTCTTCTAAAGAACCATAAGTTTGAAAAGAAATCAAACAACAATTCAATCTCATCATAGATAAGATGAAAATCAGTAAAAATATAAATCAATGGGAAAAGGGCATTCATTGGTTACTAGATGATATGATAGCCTCCGTAGGCACGCTTTTGTTTGCTTGTTAACCATTTAAGAATCAATTAATTAGGGTAATTAAAAAGTTAAGGAGCTGAAGAACCCTTCCTAAGTTCAACTTTTGTGATTTATCTTAACAATTTAGTAATATTAATTAACAACTATATTCAAACAAACAAGGGAGAGAACGGGAGGATTTGTAATGAAAAATACTGCATGCATTCAAAGATGCATGTTTTTGAAGTTTTGAGCAACTGATTGGCATAACCAAATATAATTGATAAAGTGCCTCGCTTCCATCAAGATGATAATGCATTAAAAAAATAATAATAACTAGCAAAGAAAAATGGATAATGAATATGAAAATGACCATGTGAATATTGTACAAAGAGTTTGTTTAACAAACATGAACAAAATGCATAATTTGTTGACTTTAAGTACCTACAATTGTAATATTTTTAGGAATTTGAATATGCAGACAAGATGAAAAAATAAAAATTCAATTTCAGAGAGATTTTGTCAATTTGTCAGCCATATAAAGCATATTACCTGGGGGTCTACATCTGGATTTATCCTAAGTAAAACTCGAACCGTCTTTCCTGTTATTCTTGCCGCAATAACAATATTTTCCAGATCAAACTCGCTATCAATATTCACAAACACCCCTTCTTTAGCAGCCAAAACAAGATCCTCCACCAGCTTCCCATTTCCATTAAATACACATCTGACCTTCAAATACCGAGAAAGCAAATGAATCATTAATATATCAATAAGATTCTCACCCATGAGCTATTATTATCTGAGATATTTATATAAAACAAATTGTAGTTTGGTCTTTTAGTGGACTAGTACCACTATACAAATAAGGATAATAGTTTACTCTACCGTACTAACAATCTCTACAATGATATTAGAGTTTATTTCAAATTTGATAGTTCTGCTATAGTTTTACGACAAACCTTAAGGGCAACTGGGTTAGCCAGTTGAAGTAGCATTAAAGGAAGAGTTATGTGAAATCCAACAAAGTGACTAATAAGAGATCTTAAGTTCAAACTAAATCCTAAATTTAGCAGGATTTGATAAATCTTAGCTCAAAAAATGGATTATCATATATTGGTAAGACAAGTGAACCATTTCAGCATCATCGACTAAATCTCTATGTTGACCTCACTTTTGGTTGAGGTCTAGAAATTTCTTTAGTAGCCTAGGTCTAGCCATAGGACTTTCCTATTGACTAGTCTTAGAAAATTAGAAGAGGTACCCCACCATTAGAAATTCAAAACTCTTCTTTTTTTTACTCAACTTTGATCTTAACCTCTAGCATTTAATAGGTAAGATCATTATAAGAGAATTCAAGGAGAGTCCCTATAGGATTATTTGGCTTTAGGGTCAACCCTAGGTGTTGACTTGGAACTAGGATACACCATATCTTCACAATACATTAATCCATGGTTCATTTAGAATGAATATCTATCCAATTCTATGTGAAATGCCTAACTTAGTCTTTTGCCCCTACGCACCTCCAAATTACCTAACTGCCCTTGGGAATCAAATTTGGCTAATATTTCCAAACTTTGCCAAAATACCCAAAATTGATCAAAACCCATTTTAAATACCTTGAATACATCCAAGTTTGTCAAAATTTCCAAAAATGACCAAATTACCAAAATACCCCTCCATGACCCAAAATCCAAAAATTCCAAAAATTCCTAAAAAATCCTAATAAATCCAAAATATTCCCAATTTCATTTTAACCAACTACACCTTAGTCCAATTTGGTCAATTTGACCATCTTTGACAAAATCCCCAAATTAGCCCCAATATTGGCTAACACCCCAAAT